GTTCTTCGTAGAGTGGCCAGGCGGACCCATCTCCTTCGAACGGCTCGAGCCTCCCGTAGAGCGGAATGGCGACAGGAGGGGGGGCGGTGTTCCGACTCTCTCGGCGGCGTGGGCCGAACCGTGCACGTTGGTGGCCTCCAGTGCCACGGTTCCTCGTCGCCAGTGTCACAATCCTTCTAGAACGTTGACGAACGGGGCCGAAGCACCCGCCGAGAAGAGATGACTCGCAGCCTGGTTATGAGGGTAAACGATGACTGACCGAGGCGGCGTGCGCTCCACGGCGTTTATTCGGCGCGGTGACCAATGTTGCCCGCCGAGCCTGGAGGCCACAGACGGGTGGACTGGAGGGGGCGCTACATACTGGTCGCAATCTTCTATGCTCCCTGTTGGAAAATCTCAATTATGAAAAGACGATGGAAAAAGCCTCATACAAGCGTAACCGTAATATGGGACATCCTATACCAGCGAAAAGGCGGCTCCAGTATAATGGATTAAGGCGGAAAGATACAGCCGGACAGAACCACACAAGCGTGTTGTATTATGGGACATCCTATACCAGCGTAGTAGATCGTGGCAGAACCATGGAGGCGGAGGGAACTATAGACAGTTTTACTGAAAGAGGGCGAGAGAGAAAAGGGGAAAGGGCTACCGGCGCTTTCCCCCTTTCTGATTGCGTAGAAAGAGTGAAAGTCCCGGATGAGAGGCTTCGCCGGTGTTGGGTGTCTGCTGTGCGCGAACTTCGTTCGCGCTTTCTTTTCTGTTTTAAGCTCGCAAACTTAATTAAAGCCAGGGGCTTCGACGGCAACAGTCGCCCGGTCATCGGGACACCATTGCTGGGTCATAGGGTGCACGAATAAAAACAGAAAGCATAGAATACTGTCCGAGGACATATGTAGCTTGCGAGGAATCCAGCAAGGCGAGAGCGGCTGCAATGTCTTTGAACTCCATCGCTTTCCACATCACCCCTGTCTCCGGGGGCAGTGGATTGCTTGCGTCCGTAAACCGAAAATGTGTTTCCTCAACGCCATCCTCTCGACTTCGCTCGGAACATTTCGTGAATGGAGCGCGCACCGAACGCTGTACCGCCGATGAACATGGGGTACGCTCGCAATGTGCGTGCGAGTTTTCTCATGATAACTGCTGTTTCAGCTTGTAAAATTTCGTAACTGAATTTATCTTAATAGTGATAATTTGTAGTGGTGACTGAATCGATCTTATAATCTACAACACTTAGTTAAAGACTTTTATTTCCGCCGCCGGGTAAGGCTGGAAATTGTTGAAAACGTAGTTCTATTTTTTTTTTTATTATTATTATTTTTTTTAATTGCGATCTCCTGCGCGATACCAGAGAGCCGGCAAAAGCGCTCCTTAGAGTGCCGCTGGTGGGTTGTTTCCGTTGACTAAGGCGCTTTGAGGCGCTTGATAGTCGCTGCAGGGAACGACTCATGTGTTGCGATCTGCGTTTTCGAGCCCAGTGTGCACGTTTCTCTGTTTGAGTCATGGCATCCGCCAGTGTGGCGACGGGGGGAACAGCGGCAGCGAACGTGCCAGCTATAGAAATTGGAGGTGAGTACTCAAAATATTGCATCAAATAGTAATATAATTCGTGGCTGCTTCGAGGCTTTCTGCGGTTCGATAAAAGTACATCTAGAGCGTCTTCGTCGTTCATTCACAAGGAAATATAAGAACAGGGACACGAAGATATAAAGAGCACAGCAAGACGTTATATAGCAGCTCCGGGCGTTTACAAAGTTAACTGAGGTTCCCGTTTCGTGTATCGCTTGCTGATTACAACTAAAAGCGGCTACGTTTAAATAGGCCCATTGCTGGCAAAAATGTATAAATGGTTCACCATTTCCAGTCATGCGGAAAGCAATGGAGCTTAAAAACATTCCAGCCGTACTTGCCTTCCCGGATTCCATGCAAGCTACATAGGTCCTCGGACAGTACTCGACGCTTTCTGTCGTTATTTGTGCACCCTATCACCCAGCAATGGTGTCCCGATGACCGGGGGACTGTCGCCATCAAAGACCATGGCTCTAATTTAGTTTGGGAGTTTGAAACGTAGAAGAAAGCGCGAACGAAGTTGGGGCACTGCGGACGCCCAACACCGGCCAAGCTTCTCATCCGGGACTTCCACTCTTTCTACACAATCAGAAAGGAGGAAAGCGCCGGTAGCCCTTTCCCCTTTTCTCTCTCGCTCTCAAAATGGCGCTACCCACGATAAAACGGTCCATAGACCTTTTCCGCGTACCCTCAACCCAGCGCGCCCGCACCCTCGACCCAGACACCATTCAGATTATCACGGGCGCACAGTGTTTGCAACAGCGGAGGGTATGGGCGAGTAGGCCTAGTGGGTGTATTTACCTGTGTATCACGGTACGTTTAGAAGTTGCAATGTCAGGAGTGAGTTGATTCTGAAGGTTTATTCTGTGCCAAATCAACATGTCGGAGAATCTCCGGTCGTCCGGATACCACTGCGTTGTCTTCGGGTGTTCTAACAATTTCACGAAGCGAAAACAGAATCGCGGAAAGTGGTGCGACGAGCACGAGAAGCTGCAGCGCGAGTGCGGATGCAATGTATTTGTACTTCACGCGTTCCCGACTGAACCCGATCTGCGACGCAAGTGGACTGCGAGCATCAATCGCGAGGGCTTTGTGCCAAACTCGTCATCTAGAGTGTGTTTGGACCACTTCATCGACGGCAAGCGAACCGAATGCAACCCAGTGCCCATGCTTCGGTTAGGTTACCACCGCAAGGTATGTCATCGTTTTATAGCATGTGCTATTCTTTTAAATGTATTCTGAGCGTCTCTGCTTGTGAGGGGCAATCATTTCAACAGCAGATTGAGAGGTCATTGTTAATTTGTGGTTGAGGTGACCACCGGCGGGTGAGGCGAGCGTAGGGGGACAAGCGGGAGCGACGGCCGAGGCGACCGCTGGCATTAGTTTTCGCCTTCCCCTGATTGCTAGCCTGGCTCGCAGAAACCGAACCCTTAGTGGTTCCGATGAGGCTTGCCTCACGCTCGAGCCTGAGATTTTATTTAATTTCTTCTGTGAGAAGCAAAGCCAGGGCAGACCATCTGTTTGGGAGCGTGGCTTGTCGGTATGATCCACGGGCCACGAGCGCAGCACCGCTTACGGCTGGCTTCCCATTCTCTGCGGCGATTGCTTCGCCGTCCCACCCAGCTTTGCACTCTAGAAGATGTTGCTAGCCGTACTACAGTCCAGCGACATGAGTAACCACCAAATCAAAAACACCCAGCGAAAAAAAAGTGTCGGCGAAACGTGTCTACTGCGTGCGGTTCGTCCAACGAGTTTCACTGAAACGTCAAAACGTTGACGAAATTAACATGCGACGATGAAGCGTGTCTCTGTGAAGCTATGCGAACTCCCTAATCATATTTTTTGTCACATATTCTGATTCGTCTTTAATCACGCCGGTGAAATTTTCTGCGAGTTTCTCGTAGGACGAAGGCGGCTTGACAGAGTCTATGTGCCACCGCTCAAGATGCAGGTACCAGTTGTGAAGAGCGGCAAACACCACCAGGCGGTGCTCCATTCTTTTGACGTCCCAGAGAACTTCCGGTTCATAAAAAGAATGAACAAAGCCCACCTTAATACCGCTGCTTGAAATGTAGATGAAACGTTTAACCACCAATTCTCCAAGTGAACGCCAAGAGAACGCAGAAGCGCGAGATGAGTTGAACGTTTTCGAATATTCTTGTAAACCAAATTCTCTTGTTTAAGGCGTTAGATTGTCCAGCCGAGGGCCCTCATTAAATCTCCAAGTTTGATGTACGTGTAGCATTTGTGCTTTCTAGCACTGGTGACATAAGCAGGCTCGACAGGCTCGCGAGCACGGAACGACCGGAAGTCGCTTGGGACGCAGGAGGCAGCTCATGTTTGTAAACAGCAAAAGGGTCTATACAGGCTTCATTAAAGTCTCTTCTTTCATTGTAGAAACTCAACCAAAACGCCCAACAGCTTTCGTCCTCATGCTTTCAAGGAGGCAAGGTAAGTTGCATAGACATATTCTGAACAAACACAATGTAGTCAAGTTCTTACTTTGGTTGGCATCCTTCTAGGGCAATTTATTTAAACAGTTCGAATTATTTCTGTCCCGAGTATAAACGTTCAAAAGTGCTAAATTACAATCAAAATTGTTGTTACACTGTGTTAGAAACCCCTGGCAAGCATCGCTACAAATGTTGGGCCTCAGTCATCAACTGCTTTGAGAACTACCTGGCTATCCAGCACGGTAAGCCGACATTTGCACTTGCCTCTCAGTTTGCTCTGTATTGGTTGTGCAGTGTTATTGACTGTTCACTTTTCTCTCGGCGCAGCAATCCCTGGCTCGTAGTGCCTCCACAAACATTGGGCCTCAGTCACCTACAGTCACGATTGGGGGCAAAACTGGTAGGCTTCCCAGCATGGTAAGGAAACAGTTGCACTTGTCTGTCGGCTCCCTTTGTGTGGTGCACTGTTGGTGACTGTTTGTTTTTCTCAATGCACATCAGTCCCCAGCACGAAGCCCTTGCGCAACAACTGCTAGGACACAGACGCCAACAGTTGCACTCACTCAGCTAAGCAGAATGGTAAGCAGACTTTTGCATTTGCCTCTCAGCTTGTCCTGCATAGTGCGGTATCAATGACTTCGCTTCTTGACACAACAGTCCCCAGCAAGCACTGCTGCTGCAAATGGGCCACGGACGCCAACAGTCACGGTGGGGGGAAGAACCCCTACGCTATCCAGCACAGTAAGCAGACAGTTGCAATTACTTCTCAGCTCGCCCTGTGTTGCCCAGTGTCTGCGACTGTCCATATCTCCCTCAAAACAGCAGTCCTTGGCATGCACTCCTGCCACAGACAAGCTTTACTCACCAACATTTATGACTGGAGGGGGAGTGTCCAGCACGGTAAACAGACAGTTGCAACTGCTTGCCGGCATGCGCTGCGCTGTCCAGTGTTAATGGCTCTGCTTTTCTTTTGCCACAGCAGCCTACGGAATGCACCCCTGCCCCAAACGGTGGGCCTCAAGTGACAACATTCACGATTTTGGGGGGAACTGGTAGGGTACCCAGCACGGTAAGGCAACAGTTGCGCTCGTTTCTCGGCTCCCTTTGTGTGGTGCACTGTTGATGACTGTTCATTCTTCTCAATGCACATCAGTCCCCAGCACGAAGCCCCTGTGCAACAATTGCTAGGCCACAGACGCCAACAGTTGCGCTCACTCAGCTACGCAGAATGGTAAGCAGACTTTTGCATTTGCCTCTCAGCTTGTCCTGTATAGTGCGGTATCAATGACTTCGCTTCTTGACACAACAGTCCCCAGCAAGCACTGCTGCTGCAAATGGGCCACGGACGCCAACAGTCACGGTGGGGGGAAGAACCCCTACGCTATCCAGCACAGTAAGCAGACAGTCGCAATTACTTCTCAGCTCGCCCTGTGTTGCCCAGTGTCTGCGACTGTCCATATCTCCCTCAAAACAGCAGTCCTTGGCATGCACTCCTGCCACAGACAAGCTTCACTCACCAACATTTATGACTGGAGGGGGAGTGTCCAGCACGGTAAACAGACAGTTGCAATTGCTTGCCGGCATGCGCTGCGCTGTCCAGTGTTAATGGCTCTGCTTTTCTTTTGCCACGGCAGCCTACGGAATGCACCCCTGCCCCAAACGGTGGGCCTCAAGTGACAACATTCACGATTGTGGGGGGAACTGGTAGGGTACCCGGCACGGTAAGGCAACAGTTGCGCTCATTTCTTGGCTCCCTTTGTGTGGTGCACTGTTGATGACTGTTCACTTTTCTTTCTGCACATCAGTTCCCGGTACGCACTCCTGCCACAGGGGTTGGACCTCAATCGACCGTATCTATGATTATGGGGGGAAATTGTAGGCTACCCAGCACAGTAAGGAAACAGTTGCGCTGACTTATTGGCTCCCTCTGCATTGTTCGGTGTTGATAACTCTGCTTTTCTCCCTGCCCAGCAGTCCCCAGCAGGCCCTTCTGCAACAAGCATCGGGCAACATACACCACCTGTTGCAGGAGTCGCTCCGCTACCCAAAGTAGTAAGCAGACTTTTGCACTTGCCTCTCAGCTTGTTCTGTACAGTGCGGTATCAATGACTTTGCTTCTTTCTTGACACAACAGTCCCCAGCAAGCACTGCTGCTGCAAATGGGCCACGGACGCCAACAGTCACGGTGGGGGGAGGAACCTCCACGCTATCCAGCACAGTAAGCAGACAGTCGCGGTTGCTTGTCGATTCACCCTGTGTTGTCCAGTGTCAGCGACTGTTCACATCCCCCTTAAAACAGCGGTCCCTGGCACGGACTTCTGCGACAGACAATGAACTTCAGTCTCATCAGCTGTTTGAATCAGTTAGCACAACTGAATTCAATCTATGTAGAATTTCCCTTCATATGGCGATTTCAGTGATGTGATTGGCCTAAGGCGTTTTGGAGCAGCCAAAACCATGTTTTGGAGCAGCGAAAGTGGCCCAATTCTCCTTAGTCACTCAGTCGACTCGCCCCAATCTCAGTTCCCGTCTTCTTTCTCCTTCACTTTCTTATCGTAGCACTCTCCCCCTCCCACTAAAAAAAGAAACAAAAGCGGTAATCTCTTTTAAAAATACAGTTAATGTGATCTTGATCGTAGTCCGTCTGCAAAAGATGTTCTCATTCTTTACGGAACTTAACTTGGCGCGCTCGTGGGATGTATAGCTTGAGATGTGATACATGCTCAGGAAAGCAGCGGTGTGTGCTGGGAGGTCGTCCATCAGTGAGGTCCTCGAGGTAGGTGGCACGCCCAACCCGTTCCAAGACTCAATAAGGCCCTCGGCCTTATCGAACCCAAGGTCTGTCTCTCGGCAGACCTTGCGGTCTACCAAGAGACAGACCGCAAGGTCCGTTTCGCCAGAACTTTATCTCCAGTTTGAAACTCGTGCACATTATGGATACCGGCCTCTGACATATTGCCAGTCTCTTCCTGACTTCGCCGAATGGCGTCCCGTGCCTGTCTATGAATTTCATCAAGAGAAGCATGTTGAGTGTCCCTGCAATATTGTGTCCCGTTCACCCCAAGCCTTGTCTCAATAGGCAGCGTCACGTCATGACCATATAAGAATCTGAACGGTACTTCCTTCGTGGTTTCTTCCTGTGATGTGTTCAGTGCGAACATGGCGTGTGGGACAAAATTATCCCAATTAATATGCGTGGAGTTTACATAGGCAGACAAGATATCTGTAAGTGTACAGTTGTTCCTCTCAACTAGATTGTTCGTTTGAGGATGGTACACGGATGTCGGAGAAGGTCATATGCCATGTCTCGCCAGACAGTTTCTAAAATGGTGAGACATGAACGGTGTACCATGGTCTGAAATTATTGTGCGTGGCGGGCCTTGTCTGAGAACAATGTAGACATCAATAAACTCTTCTAGGAAATCTGCAGTAGCATTTGGCACCGCTAGGGCCTCTACCCATTTGGTTAAGTAGGCAACTGCGACTATGACATAACGATTTCTGCTCCGAGACTTCGGAAAAGGTCTGAGAAAGTCAATTCCAATTAGCTCAAACTTAGTAGTAGATGTCTCCCGGAACTGGCAGTGCTCGCATGTCTGAACGTCTTGAACGACGTCACTCCTCAGTCACTCAGTCCAGCCTTCCGATTCTCAGTTCCCGTCATCGTCTTTCTCTTACACTTTCTTATCGTAGCAATATATATGTACCCGCTACAGGTAAATAAGAAACAAACTCCACATATTAAAATCCGAAAATGACCAGCTTAGTAGTAAATATAACAGCATTAGCTTGACTAGTAATATAATAAATGGAAGCAGACTCGGACTGATAAAATACGTAACTACTGCCGTAAAACGCAAAATTCTCATGCGAGCGGAGATGGCTGTTCGATCTAAACCATGCCACTCCACTCCGTCGCCAACATGGTTCCCAAAATTGTATGCAAAATGTAACTGTCCAGCATACGACAAAAAACAGTCCAGCGGCACGTGCTTGCAAGGCCGGCAGGCGAGGTATACAAGCTAAACACACGAAAAAACAACCTCAGCGCATCGATGCAAGACACCGTGAGCCAGGGTCAAAAAGTCCTTGGGGCACTGAACTGAAATCGGGACAAACAAGCGCGCTGTGCTGGTTCAGCGTGCAGACATTGCCTTCTTTGCTTTAGCTCACTTCACTAACTTTCTTTCGCGGCAGATTTTTCACGTACCGGGATCCGTCTTGAAAGAAAGCCTACCGAGAGAAACCTAGGTAATCAATACTTTGACACAGCAGTCTTTGAGCTAGAGAGATTTCCGTAGTACCGTATTAAACTTGAACAGGAATGTTGATGAACATGCGGCAGTCCTTACGTTTCAGTTTAGAAAGCAGCATACAGTAAAACCTCGTTATAACAAAGTTGAAGGAGCGGTCGTAATTATTTCGATATAACCATTAGTTTGTTATAGCCAATGTCCATTTCTTCCCACTATTAGCAAGCAAGGGGAATTATGATTGCTTTGTTATATCCATTAGTTTGTTATATCCCGTTTTGTTATAACGAGGTTTTACTGTATTTGCAGCGACGTGGGGACGGCAACACCCGACGTTGCGCGACGACGGTGACTGGCAAGCAGGGACCACATATGCTTTGGCCACGGCCGTTGCTTTTAGAAGCGAGTGCTTCAGCCCGTAAACTTAACTCCTACCGCACAAAAACATGGTTTCGTTTAACAGCATGACGGCATGGCTGGTCCCCAGCACGCTAGCGTCGGAGAGTCCACACACACGCCCATGTCTATCATTGAAAAAATTAAAAAAAAACAAAAAAAACGCAAGACAAGAGGTGGCGGGAAAAGCCATGCAAGGGAACTGGATGAGCGATTGATGGATGGTACTTTGAGTCGGGCAGCTGCTTGCACCACCTAGCTCATGTGTGCTCAAGTTTAGTTTTGTTTTTCAAAGGCGACCAAAATTGGTCCTTTGGCGCAGGCTTGGCAAAATTTAGCAGGGTTAGCCTTTTGGCGTAATTGGCACGCAATCACATCACTGCGATTTGCATGAATACCCCTTCTCAAAAAGAAGTGAGACGTTGATGAAAATATTTGACATCAGAAGTTCCTGTCTTCTCTACAAATTTATGCATGTGAGAGATGTACCCTGTTCACCGGGTTTGAGCAGAAACAAGTGGAATTTGTGTAGCTTATCATTGTAGTTTGGTCTTCAAGTTTTGAGCAGGTAATGTATTGCCCAACTAGGTTTTAATGTACTGAGCACTGAAGCAACAGCATGAGTTACTATTCTTTGTAAGTAGTATGTGTGGTCTCACTTTGCCCATTCAGGTAACAACGAAGAGCCCAGACGCCGAGCAAGCAGCTGGCCACGACTACTGCACGAAGGAGCCATCTAAAGCTGCAGTTTCGCTAACGATGTCAGACGCTGACATTCAGTTTTACACTGGCATTTCAAGGGATGCATTTTTGTCTCTAGTCGAAATGGTATCCTTAATGACAACAGCCAACTCACGAATCCCTCTTGAGGATCAACTACTCCTCTCTCTAATGCGGCTACGTCTGGGCCTCCTTTATGGTGATCTCGCCAGGCGATTTTCCATATCTGTTACTCGCATTTGTGCTATCTTCGATAAGATACTTGGAATCTTAAAGAAGATTATGACGTATATCGTGGTCTGGCTGCCACGTGTACGCATTCAGAGCACCATGCCAGCATCTTTTGTAGAGAATGGCTATGGCAGGACAACGTGTATCTTCGATTGCGCAGAGCTCACCTTGCAGAGGCCACGGAAGTTAATGGCCCGTGCGCAAACGTACAGTGCATATAAGGCTGCAAACACTTTAAAATTTCTTACTGTGATTGCACCTAATGGGCATCTCATGTATGTTTCTGATGTTTACGGAGGGAGAGCCTCTGATAAGCACATCGTTCGGACCTGCGGGGTTGAGGACTTCCTACAGAGAGGAGACGAAATCATGGCTGATCGAGGCTTTGCACTCGAAGCTCACTTGGAGGCCAGGGGGATCAAGTTGAATGTGCCTGCATTCACGAGGGGTATGGTAAATTGGCTGTTTCGAAAAAGCTACTCTTATGTTGTGAAATGCTTTGGATACTACAACTAATTTCAATCTAAATTTGGATATGTTAAATTTCAACACTAACTTACCTCAATTTCAGGAGTGCTTGCATCATGTACTGAAATAGCATTTATGCTTCATAACTGTTCAATTCCTGCTTATATGTGAATTGATGTAACATTTCTTGTTTGTATTTATATGTATTCTGTGTTGTAGCTTACAAGTGCACCAATACGTCGGCTCCAGCCGTTATTGGGCATTTAAATAGACAAGTACAAATAAGCTGATAAATCATACAAATGTGTGGCATGGACCAGTTAAACTTTTAAATTAAATTTTGCTGTTATAACCATGTGTAATGGTGTATAATATTTGTAAGGAATTAGCAACAATAACCTTTATGCAGCCAAAATATTTTTGGAAAACAGTGCATCCTCGAATATTTCACCATTAACCCCATTTTTTTCCCATGTGCAGTCTGGCTGTTCTACGAGTGGATACTTCCAAGAGTGTAATTGAAAATGGTGCATAAGCATTGCATGAGAATGCTTTGTAGAAAGCATACCACAATTTCCTTGCATGATCAACAGATGCTGGGTTTAATGAGTAGCTACACAGGTAAAGCACTTATTCCTGCAGACATCTGAAGACATTCAAACCTCCTATAAATGGCCTTTGGGCATCCGAGGAACATATCTGTTGGGATTAAAGTGTTGCCTGTATGCAAGCAGCAAGAATGACAGGAAAGCTCATTGGCATAAAACTATGCCAACATATTTAGTTATATTTAAGTCGGCACAGGTTTTTTTATCCCCCTTCCAGTTTTCTGTGGTACTCGTTGGATAGACAAAATTGGTGGTGGGTTCTGCTCAGTTGGTGGTTTTCTCATTTGGTATACCTCGCTTGTATGAAAAGAGTGGGAAGAGATGCAGTGGCGTACTCCTACCAGACTTTGTAACTATCAATATTTACTTTTTTCTTTCAGGAAAGCCCCAACTGTCGGAGACTGAGGTGACTAAGACTCGACGTATTGCGTCTGTGCGGATCCACGTGGAAAGGGCCATTAACCGCATCAAAACGTATCGTATTTTTAAGTCTGCTTTGCCCATAGCATCTCGCAAAACTATTAACGACATGGTTTTTGTGTGTGCTGGTCTGTGTAACTTGAAAGCACCACTTATCGCACACCAAAATGATGCGGTCTAACACAGTGCCAGCTAACATGAGAAGCTGATTCAATAAGTTCAAAGTCAAATGCAGAACTTCCTGAGCACCACCTCATGTAGCATGGAGTAGGACGGCTTCTTGTCGACTATCATCGTTACCGCTTCTGCCAAGCAGCATTACTGTCTCATTGCAGTGCCATACTAAAGAAGCAGGTGTGGTGTTTCCTTGAAGACAATTTGTGAGATGGGTCTGACATTTTCCACTGGTTCCCTTTTATCATCAAGACTGACATTTGGTTTTCGGGGAACATCAACTTTGTTTCTGAAACCAACTTGTTTGCTGCTTTCTTTGAATGACCCAAGCGTCCATTGTTTTTGCAGTTGCCTCCTCCTTGTCGGTCACTCCGATTGACTCCAGTCTCCAGATTCGTTCCAAGCAGTTCATAGTTTCAGATTCCACCACCAATGTTCTCAGGGCTGTCGTCTGCATGCAATGTGCGTCATGAAGCATTGCCCCTCCCAAGGTCTGGGATAATCCGTTCCAAGGTGTTCTCGTCTGCTCCGAGCTTTTCCTCGAATGGTTTGAATTTTCCTGTCACAAGGTCCCAGTGATGCTCCAAGCCGATAAGAAGCTGAACGTTGCTTCGTTGCTTGTTGCAAGCGTAATAATCCACGCTAAGTTCATCGCCCGAGTCAAGGTCAGGGGCAACATTCTAAATTGAGGACGTAGACCGCACAGGCTGGCCCAGTCAGGCGTCGTCTTTGTCGTCTTTTTATTTACTATGGTGGCGCCCTTTTGTGTACAGCGCCAGCGTCGGAAGGAATTGGATACTTCCTCTTGCTGATGGCTGACACGCTGACACCGGTATCCAACTCGCATGCGTTGACGGCAACTTCGACACGCATTGGCTCTGGTCTGGTCGCTTGAAGCACCCAAAGGTCGTACGCTGCCAGCTCGTCATCCACATTGTGGACAGGTCTCGATCCACTCCTCTGTCTTGCTTTTCCGTTTGAGATGTATTTGATCTGCACAGTTGTGCTAAATGCCCTCTCTGCTCACACTTGAAAGAGATGCTGCCCACGTGACGACACTGGTGTGCTAGATGATTACCCCCGCAGCGGAAGCAAGAACCACTTGCCTGCTGTCTTCGTCCCGCCGATATCGAGAAAAAATAACTTGAAGCTCGCCACCACCTACGATACCTTCGGCGAGTAGTGCTTGTTCAAAGCTTCGAACATCACAGCCAATGTTGTATCGGCAGGCTTCGTAGGGGTGAGCAGGCTCTGCAGCAGCGAGTAAGTTTCTGACCCGCAGCACGTCGGAAACACGGCAGTCCTCATCGTTGCGGCGATGTCGTTCGCGGCAAAGTATAATTCCACGTGTTTGTGATACTCGGTCCAGTCCGACGTAGCAGAGTTGAACGGTTCCACCTTCCCAATGGCAGGCATGGCTGCTGGAGTTGATGCGGGACAAACAGATAAGACGTGCGCGTCCATTATGTATCGCTCGTTGCCAGTTGTGATAATCCATGCCAGGCACATCGCCTGAGTCATTGTCAGGGACAATGTTCCAAATTGAAGACATAGACCGCACTGACTGGCTTAGGCATAATCTTTGTTGTCTTTTTATTTACCACCGCGGTTGTGCCCTTCTGTGCACAGTGCCAGATATCACCGAGTCATGTCGGCTAGCTTCATTTTACCAAGGAATTTCTTGAAGCAAGGATCGGGATCTTCTGATCGGAGATCAGGTCCGTTTCCAGTACTTTGAGGTGGTACAGAGCGCGACGCTGTTAGCGCGAACAAGCTTTCGCCGGTTTTTCCAGTTTTTCTCTTTGAAACCAAAAGATGTCATCCAAGTTATGGTTGCTACGGAAAGAGCTAATTTAGTTCTATAATGTAAGCGATAAAATTTCGTGATCGCAAATACTGTTTAGAAGTAAAATGCAAAAATGCGCCGATGTTGTTTCCGCGCTAACAGTGTCGCGATGTGTACATATCATAGTTTTGGGCCGTTAGGAGCACCAGTACCCTGTTAAGCACTCATTCTGATTGGTGTCCACTAAACAATCTGACAATCAGTCTCTCCTGTCCCAATATTTGCAACTTGAGTTTTTCGGACTCATTCTTTGTAATAAATGATTGCTGTCTCCCTCTGTCAAAGATAACGCGGACAAATGTTGCATGGGCTTCTCCAGCACACCAGGTTGTTCCAGCCTGAAGCTTAATGACTGTCCTGGAAGCTTATCTGCTGTGAAATCACTGTAGCGTGCCCTGCAAAGGGACACTGAACTTGTGAAAAACATATTTTGTTTACTGACGGGACGGGACAGGTACGGCACAAAATGAATTGTTGTTGAAAAGGATTGTTTTTGTCTTTTTTTACTACATTTGAGATGCAAACATATTTTGAGTTTTAGGAGTGGAACCGATATTTACTTATTTCCACCTTTGCACCGATGTAATTCCCAAGTGTGCCATAGCATCTCATTGGTGTACATATGTTGTTTTCAGTCCTGTACCATTATTTTTATCCACTTGTTCTAGAGCAAATAAATTATGTTTCTGGGAAAAATATTTATTTGGACTGTTGTCTTTAAATATGTCAAATAACTAGGAGAACTGTCAGTTGTGAATGAATGGAAGAGGAAGCACAGTCTCGGACACCCCAACATTTTTCGTGATGCAGTTATAGACCTTGTGCTGAAGGCATTGTTGGAAGTCGCCTAATGAGGCTTGGTACTCGTTCCCAGTTTGTGTGCATGGCTTTTATTGACTGAGCTGTCTGGCATGGCTGCCACTGCAGACACCCTGAGATTCGTGTACGGTCTGGTACCATGCAATAGACTGAGCATGACCATGCACAACTGATTAGGAATGTGGTGCAGATGGACAAGAGAAGTACAAGCCACACTTTTATATGAAAGTTTTTGTCTCTCCTGTGTATTACTTGTAAAAACATGAATGTCATGTATGGATAAAGAACACTTCTTTCCTAGGAATTGCCTATAACATACTGTTTCCCTAGTAGTTCCTTTCTAGGGCATGCCCAAAACTGGTCTTTCATATTGCTGGCTACTCAACTACTCAACAGCAAGGTCACACAAAGCAATTGATTTATTTTCACAAGCCATCACTTGATGATGTGGGTTGCAGAAACGAAAGGGGTACATACTTTTAAGGCATAGAAACTTGCATGCTTACAGCACCACAAGGTGTACAATATAAATGAACACATAGTATAGAACTTAAATTGGCCAAACCGAAATTCAAGAGCAAATTGGGGGCAAATAAGGGGTGGGCTAACCTTCTATGTGCGATTGGAAAAAGAAAAACATTGTCGAAGCAAGGCCAGTTACAGACTTCTAAACAAGTTTTTATTTGTGGTCGGGTTGGTGAACCTAGCTATTTCTGACCTTCATGATGCTATGTTCACTCAATGGGTTGTGAAACCTCTTATTGCAGCAAAGACCAACTTAACCACCAATAACTAGTTTCCAGTACACATTACTCCCTACCTCTCCCCGCAGCTTACCCCATTCCTGTGCAGGTCACCATACTGAACAGTGCAATTTCTAGACAAGGGGTAGGGCATCTCTCGGAATAATACGGCATTCAACAAAAAACACAGTGTTACAAGTAAAGTCAACTTTTAGGCAGCGAGAAATTAATTGGACCCAACAAAAAAAAGAACTTGCACATACATACTTAATACTTTGCGTGAAGCAGCTCTCGCAGATTTGGTTGCCAAATGAGAAAGATGCTATTCGAGTTCATAAGTCAATTTTTTCATTCACCACAAACTGGGGCAAACATGCATAGTATGCGGACTATAGTACCGAAAATATGGTAGTACACATTGGGATGCATATATGCTGTTACATTACATTTGTGTCAACCGCCTGTAGTCTGAGGACAGTTGGAGCGAACCATTCCTGTACTTCTCTTCGAGGTATGGCAACATTGAAGAAAAAAAAAACTTCGTCAGGCGAGCCATGTTTTGCATGATGAACATCTCATTGAAATTCACTGTGAATGATGCTACAGAGCAGGGTGACCATACGTAAAAAAAACAGAGTGTCTTCTTAGCACATAGCATCGTGAACTGCACTTGACTGTAAAACCCCTTGTCGTGCTCGGGGTCCAAGAAAAAATTGTCGCCTTGACCTTTCACTTCGTAGCCTCCTCGTGCTATCAGCGCTTTGCAATCGTTTGTGTCGGGACACTTAATTTCTAAAATGGCATTACAAGACTCAATAATACCGTCGGGAGTAGCAGAGAGAAAAGGCAGCTCTGCACAGACAACTGTTCCACATAGAGAAACACTTAATCCGGTCTCTCTCACAAACTGCGCACGTGCGACTGGCTCGAAATGCTGGCCACGCCTGGTTGCAGCGTTCCCCCGAAATGTACTGCTTGTAAGCGACAGTACTGCCCTCTCATGGGGAGTATGTGGCATTTTTGGCACTGTTCTAATGTTAGATGCTGTGACACGTAACCTCCTTGACTCGTGCCACAAGGCATTTGTCGTGCCTCTTGTTTGGCTTTCGAGCTGTACCACCGCAGCACTACTCAATACCACAAAGTCTGTGTAAAAAACATTACAGCGTGGGCAGCTCTCTGGCAGGTCGTCTACATCGGTGTGGCCCTGGTGGCTTGGCAGCGGGTCGGGTGCAGAGGGGCAGGCTGGCACCTGGACAGGAGCAGTGAGAGTTTCATAGAACAGCGTTCCTGCAATGATGGGGAAAGAAACACACATTGGAGGCTTCACCTGAGACAGCTGCGAGCATTCACATGTTAATCTTCTGGATGCAGTGCACAGGGGCCTGAATGCTCCACTGCATGTTCATGTTTTTCCATGTGTCGGGCAGGTTACTGAACAAGTATGACGGAGCGGATGTGTGGCGTTAACATAGCCAGTAAAGTCTGGCATTACATACTTATCCACAAGTGGGACTGAGTGCACATGCCACATTCAGAATCACTGTATTAACAGGTGGAAGCGATTTCTTATTCAAAGACCACTTGTAAATTTTTGCCTGAATATTTCGTGACTAGGCCTGTTTAAAACCTTTGAATCTCAAATATCATAACAAAGCACTGCATCCAGTTTATTGGACCTGGTGTCGTTGCTCTATGAATATTTACAACATATTTGCATCCTTTCTTGGGAGTATAGAGTTTTTTTTTAAATTTGAAATACTGTAATTCGTGTAAAAAAAAGAACATGTCCCTCAAAAACCACAGCAAAAAAAAGTTCAGCTCCTTGTGGAGTTCCATTACTAATTTACCCCATTATGCAGTGAATTTTAATACTTAGATCACATACTTGTTATTGAAATCAGAACAATCACATATCAAACACCAAAAGCATTTCGTATTCAGAACAATTGCGTATCAAATACCTAAAGCATTTCTTTTCTGTTCTCCAAGAAAAAAATATTCCTTTCTGTGAACTATCTAATGCAATGTACCATGCCCAAACTTGCAATTTGTTTCTTGAGTTCTCATTGGTTAAAATTAAAATGAAACTGCAATGTGGAGTTAGCCACAGTAAACTGAGCAGGGGCAGACACATAGGCATGTCACCGCAATAACAGCGTGTACTTGCCTGGCACCCTGAACAGACCCTGGGACGGAGCTGTCGTCAGGAATTCGTTTAGCTCCTTGTCGTCACGAAAGGCATGATACTTTTTTGCCTCGGGAGCTTTCCTGTTGACTGTGGATGCCCCTGTCTCCATCTTAAAGTCAATGTTGGAGAGGGCAGCGGGCACCACATTCTTCTTTGTCCCTTGATTCCATCTGGCAGCTTCATCGGTGCAGGCATGCCCGGTGTAGCCTAAAGTCGCTGCCATATCAACTTTAAAGAGCAATGCGCCAACATGGCTGCACACCCTAGCCTCTCCAGCCATGCAGGTGCAGCCTGCTGTGACCACTTCACCATCCTTCTTGGCACAAACCCAAGCATTGTTCAGCTTCTTTGTTGACTGCGAACCTTGTACGCAGGCTTTCAACAGTATCAGGTCTCCGTCGATTTCGTGCATGAGGAGCTGTCCTACCCAGCCACTGATCACATAGTTGTAGGCATCTGAACTTTTGTATGCTTTCGCTTGTCTGAGATCGCATGCTTCAGTGTCCAGTAAGTAACAAACTATATTGCCCGAACGTATCTCTGGCCACTTTTTCATATTGTCTTCCCACGTTGTGATGCGCTCAGGGTGAGGATACTGGCAGTTATCTGCAAACAGAAGGTACAAGAGTTAGCAGAGAAAGATACACACAACACACAACAGCAAAAAATAGTCGTGGTGCAGACGAGCTGGCGCATGTTTATCACGATGGAAATTCCCGAGACGTGCGTGTAAAACAAACATGCATTGGAAGAGATAATTTTCTTTGTTTTTCCGCATGGCGCTTTATCAAAACCTTATCTCCGAACTCAACTTGAAGCAAAGTCAAAAATATGTAGAAAGATGCACAAATGAGAACTTATGAGCGTTCACGGCGATGTCACAGTATCGCTGCCGGAAGCATGTCAGCGGTACCGGAATGCCGCTGCATCAGCGATTTAAAAACAACACGATTGACTAATTAATGTTGCAAGCAGACCATCTGCTCCATTTTCATTGTCTGCAGCTCCTCACCCATACCCAGTGTCATTAAATGTATTCTCTTCGCAGGCACGTAGCCAGGATTTTGTTTTGGAGAGGGAGGGGGGGGGGGGCGCCCATGACAAGATGCTGTATGAGGGAGTGGGGAGAGAGGAGGCCCCAGCAAAATGGAAGATTTCGAGGGTGGGGGGGCGCCCCCCCCTCCCCCCTGGCTACGTGCCTGTCTCTTCGTACCTCGGGTGGTGTGCTTCTGGAGTGTGCTTAATAGCACACATAATCTTGGGGATGACATTCGATGTTGGCTAACATTACAGTGCCGTCCGACGGCTCTCCACTCGCGCCTACAAGTGCCGTCCGGAAGATGGTCAACGGTGCGTGCATCACTGGGGAGCTCGTTAACATCCCCCCCCCCCCCCCCCCTCCCTGCGTTCACGCCTCTTCGCGGTGACAGTATGCGGCTGCAGGTTACAAAAATATGGACCCATTTGGCCCCATCGTACACGCCGCTTCGCGGCGTCCAGCCGGCAAACCATCCCCGCTGTCCCTCATGCACCTCCGGAAACGAAATCCCATACCATTTTGTTCAGCGAAGTTTCGTCGGAAACATTCGTCTTTTTTTTTCCGGTGTTAATCGTAAAAAGGAAATGGAAATATCGCCAAATGCGTCGACAAAACAAAATGCTCGAGAAAAAAAAAAAGAGTAAGCCGCCACTGAGGGTCAAACCCGGCACCGCTCGTTTATCAGGCACAGATCCTACCACTAAGCTACGCTGCAGATTCGAAAAAACTCGTTTTGAGAACTCGTTTTATATGAGACTTTCGGACACCACTTGAACGCTCTGCAAGAGTGCCGTCGGAGGGTACTCTAGACACTACGTTCGAGGCTTGACTATCAACTTTATGAGTGAATGAGTTGACGAGCACGGACAGACTGCACTGCTTGCGATTTTTAATTGCCGCACCACCCGAGACAGGCTTGATCGCTGGCGACATTCCGTTCGCAGCAACCCCTCATTCAATTATACAGCTCATCAAAATTCACACAGATGATAAGCGATTAGTAACAAGTTGGCATGTCTCACCTCCGATGTCGCGCCGGGCGACTTGACGATTGTCTACTCTACCGGAAACAAGACGTAAATGTTTCTCGGGGTAAATTCAACTAAGAAAATGGCAAAAGACGAAACAATTTAGCTAGCACTCGGCGACATGTGCGAGCGCCTGGCTGGCCCTGCGTGGCGTCCCCTTGGAAACGGGAAACGCTCGCCGGATGTTCCGGTGATAGCCTGCAAACCAGCTCGGTTGGGGCCCATCAAGTGCCCAGCCAAGTCTAGCCAAGTTCCGCCCATACCCACACGGTTGCCTACCCAGATAACCGCTCTGTCGCCGCAATCAGCGGCGCGAAGCCGATAGACGGCGCCCCAGACGCCGCGACCGGAAGATGGCGGCGCCCTTGCGGAAAAGGTCTATACAAGCATAACTTAATATGGGACATCCTATACCAGCGAAAAGGCGATACCACCATGGTGGAGCCATATGGCTCCACCATGCTGGTATCGCCTTTTCACTGTTATACAGGGCGATCCTTTTAAGCTTTACATATTTGTTTAAAAAGGTTGTGAAAGCTACAATAATGCAGTTGGTGCAGGCGAGTTATACGGCCAGGGGTACATAGTATAGGGGCCTCATCGTAACAATCAGTCGGATAATTAAATTCAATTTGTTAATTAACTTCTTAATTACTGAAAATGAACACATGGATTCAATTAGAAACTTGTTGAGAGTCATCGAAAACCACTAAATAACTCTTTTTAGAAGTATATAACGCCAGGGGTAGCATTTTACCCGTTCTGTAAAAACGCTTCATTTGGATCCGTTTCTAGGTTTCGGTTTTTTATCGGAGCGCATCTCTGCGCCCACGGTCCTGTTCCCCAGGGGTTCAGTCGCGCAACACAGGTGCACCCTGCTTCCCTACATCCTACGAGGGAGGCGAGGAGGTGGCTTCGCACTGCAGCCATTGGTCAGCTGTATCGTACGTGCAAAGATCCGCTCTGATAAGAAACCGAAGTCTAGAAACGCGTCGAGATTAAGCCATTTTTTTAGAACGCCGTAAAATGCTGCCTCCTGTCTTATATACTCAATAAAAGGGTTGGTTTAGTGTTTTTGGATGATGCTTAGCAACTTTCTAATTCGAACCATGGGTCTACTTTCACTAATTAAAAATTTAAGGAACATATTATACTTAAAGGGAAGCTAAAGCGGTTTTGTATTTGAGGAAACACATTTAAATCTTCTTCATTTGACGTCCAGAATCTCAAATATCAAAATTATTTGTTGAATCCAGGCTGTATAGAATCGTTTTGAAAGTATCGCTGGAGGCACCCTTTTCCGGAGAGTGATGTCGCAAAAGGAGCTTTCGAAATCTCTGCTCACGCATCTTCAGCGCCAATAAAAGCTATGCACGCACACTCTATTTTTAAAAAAGGGGAAAAAAAAAGACGTCACGACTGGTGCCAGTGCGGGAGAATACACCTAGGAAGCTTGCGATTGGACGCGCGGCACTCAAGCAACACATGCTTGGCAGCGGAAAGATCCCTTTACGACGTCACTACTGGTCGGATGTTATTTGTGTTTTCTCACGTTTAGTTATATCTTTGGGGAAAACAAACGTGATATTCAAATTCACGGGATAAAACTACACTAGAATCAACCTCCATCTAGTTTTCTGAAAGAAGTCTTGCACTTCCCTTTAATAAGCCGACTCATTATTACAATTAGCCCTTCATACCATGCCCCCTTGCCATATAACTCACGTACACAGACCGCGTAAGTGTAGCTTTCACACCTTTTTTTCAACAAATCTGTAAAGCATACAGAGAACACCCTATAGCATGTCCCCTAATACGATACGACTGTATGGTTCCCTGCTTGCATCCTTCGGGAGGGACTCGCAGACATCCGACGTTCCATTGGAATGCTTGATGTCAGCGAGTCTCTACATCAGCGATCGGTTTGAAACAAAGCATGATGTTTGCACACAAATAAGCTCTTGTCCGAGGTCCTCGAGGAGCACTAATAGCAGTGGCGAAAGGTAGTGACGGGGTAAATTTGGTAGCAAGTAATTATTTCTAGAAGAATTGCATGCAGCAAAGCTGAACTTTCCTCAAAAGATCATAATTATAAATTCAATACTGAACAAAGGTGTCCCTTGAGCTGTCAGACCAAACTCCCACTCTCGCCACTCAGGAGTTCCTAACTTGTGCGTAGAGGATCAGCACAACCCAGATTCCTGCTGCGAGCACACCTGCGGTATAAAAATTTAATAAACATGAGATGAAAAATAAAAGACGTTTACAATTCTCTGTAATACAAAATTAGAGCGCAGATCTTGAGAAGGATTGAAGAATATGCCCCTCCTTCTCCCCTCCTCCTCATCTGCTCCCTCCCATTTAGCGGGAAATTTCCCTAAATTTAGCGGGAAAATTTCCCCACTAAATTTAGCGGGGAAATTGATATCATGTGACCTAAACTCCAATTCAGCTTTCCTGCTAAATGTAGCGGGGAAAATGACGTCTCATGACCGCGTCACGTCACCCATAAACAAATTCAGTTTCTCAGCTAAACTGAGCGGAAAAATTAATGTCACATGACCTCAACATTAATTCAATTTCCTGCCAAGTGTAGTGGGTGCAGTTACGCCGACAGCGACGCTGCAAAACGCGGAAACCGGTGCCTAAGAGCTGCGCTCTAAAAAACTAAATGCCTCACATGAAATAAAGTGAAAATCAGAGATAAGACAAAGAAAAAAGTGAAAGCCGTTTACCACTCCCTGTAACGCCGAACTGGAGCGCAGCTCTTGAGGAGGAGGAGGGGAGGGTACTGAGGGCCAGTGTTCTCGGGAAGGGGGGGGGGGGGGTCACGTGATGTTCCAGGGTGCAACTGGGCTGGGCAACGCTGCTACCGGACTCGATAAGTCTATTTCAAAATTCTTGGCCTCAGATTTAAGGCGCAGAGGAAAAGGAGGTATAACAGAAGGTTTGTTCTGGTACGTTCTTTCATACCGCGTGTCCAGAAACACTTAGAGTGCAGGATGTCGAGGCATGGAGCAAACTCTTAAGTGTGATTGAAGGCCCAAGAACAGACGTCTTTTTCCAAGAGAGTATTCATTAGATTCAGCATAGAGACTGGGAACTGGAGAGGTCCAGAAAGCCCCCCTTGCAAGCCGTGGTCCCAGGTGGTGGACAGGATCCAAGATCTGAAGAGACGGCCGTGCCGAGCCGTACACCATGCAACCGTAATCTAATTTCGATCAAACAAGGCACTGATACAAACGCAGCGGGCACCTTCTGTCACTACCCCAGGACTTGCGAGAAAGAACTTTTAAAATATTCAATGATAGCAGGCATTTCTTTTTTAGTTGCAAGATGTGACTACGGAAGCTAAGTTTCTTCTCAAAGATAACCCCTAAAAATTTATACTCAGGATGTACGTTTAGGGTCTGACCTCCCAAAGTTAGAGTAGGTTCTGTAATGATACCCCTTCGAAGAGAAAACAGAACACAGACTGTTTTCTCTGCTGAGAAACGGAAACCATTCTCATCTCCCCAACGTGTCATTCCATTAATCCCTAGTTGAACTTGGCATTCACAGATAGCTGAATTACACGAAGAGCAGGAAATTGGTACATCATCAACATAAGTGCATAGAAGAGAGATCGGGGAAGAACCCGTCTAAGAGAGTTCATTTTGATCAGAAACAAAACACCACTCGGCACCGACTATTGGGGAACACCATTCTCCTGGAAAACGTTTCAGAAAGTGTCATGCCCAACCTCACTTGGAATGAGCGCTCATCGAAGAAGCTCTTGATAAGAGCTAGAATTTTCCCACGAATACCAGCTGAAACTAAATCACTTAAAATTCCATACCGCCATGTGGTATCATATGCCTTCTCAATATCGCAAAACACCGATAAACAATGTTGTCTGTTAACAAAGGTTTAGTACTTTACAAAGAGAGAAGACTTGACTTGGACGCTG